CCCGTGGGATGTTTAGTAGCATTCCCTGGCCCTCTATCCAACCAGATGCCAATAACATCACTTTCCCAATCTGTGGACGACTAAAGAATGTCTCCAGAAAATTTCCAGATGTCTTCTGGGGGAACAAAGTTGCTCCCTGAATGAGAGCTGCTGGCAATTTGGGAGGAGCTAGAAACCCACAAAGGACACAAAGAGATTCTTCTCATGTCTGGTTCGGCCTGTCTTGCTGGCCTCTGCTCTGAGTCTGACATGCAGAAGGAGCTCGGTAGGGTGACGTGCTGAATGAATGTGTGAATGAAGGGAGGACCTCTCCATCTCCTTCCCATGGAAAACATGGGCTCTGGGGAACAAGATGGGGACAAAAGGCCCCAGGTTCACCGGGGACTGAAATGGGGTGCTCTGAGCAGCAGAGTTGGCTGGGGGAGTAGATGTGCCACTGAGTCCTCTACCCCATGGACAAAGTCCTGGCTGGCCATGAGCACGGCGGTGGGACTGAGGCCACGTGGGCTGGGCATGGGTCACTATGGGACCCCTTTGCTGATGAAGTTCCCGCATTTGTGCTGTTACAGCTGTGTCCCGTGATCGAGGAGGCCTTTGAGGACATGCAAGAGGACCTCCTGCAGATGGTAGAGGGTGAGTGCACTGCTCTCTCCCACCTTTTTTCTTTTCTGCTGAGCCAGCCTCCAGGCTGTGGCTCTGGAGGGGGCACCTCCCTAGTCTGGTCTGAGCAGCAGGTGGGAAGAGCACCAGTTGATCCCTGCCTGGGATGAGCAGACAGGAATTCACAGTTCTGAGTTCACCAGTACCTACTATATACTATAGGCAGGTTTCCACATGAGCCAGCAGGTGACCCAAATAAATCTGAGTTAAAATCCCAGCTCTACTATTGATTTGTCTGGTGACTATGGGAAGCCAGCTCCACCTCCTTATCCTCAGCTTCCTCATCTGTAAAATGGGACTTGTACAGCCCTACCTCGGGATTGTTAGTGAGGATTAAAAGTTTATAGGAGAGTTCCAGGCACATAGCAAGTGCTCTGGCTGCAGATAGAAGTTTATTCAAATGTGTGCTGAATGGATGCATAAGTGAATGATACAGCAAAGACTGTGGGCTTAGAGAAGAGGGAACAAAAGAAGAGGTCAGATATATGCTCAGGAAGGTCACTTCTCCCTCCCTGAGAGTAGCAGAAATGGAAGGTCACAGGCTTCTACCCCCACCTCAAGTGTCTGCTGTGCTCAAGTGCCTCAGAGCGGGGATTGAAAGGAAGAAGAAAATTCTATTGCCTACTGCTTGGGGATCTGAAGTGGCTCATTCCAAGGGGCCACCAGAGAGGAGTGGGAAGAGAATGGAATCAGTAGCATTGAGCACCCATAGAGCAAATACTGTGCTTGGTGTTTTATATAACTGGCTGCTCCACAGACATCACTGTGAAGTAGTGATCAATACCCACTTCACAGATCAGCAAACTGAGGCACAGAGACTTTAAGTCCGTTATTCAAGTTTACAGAAGTTAGGGATGGGGAAGGCTTACATCCAATTCTTCAAATTTCAAGTGTGGTATAATTCAGATTCAAGCCAGCTTTACTAGGTACCCGTTCTATACCACCTATGAGGCCAACATTTCTGTATTGCACCCCCACTTTAAAATGAGTAAACTGAGATTGAGGAGGGAAGAAACTACCTAAGGCTACTGTGGCTAGAACAGAGGTCTGTCTGGCTCCTCTGCTTCCCATGGGCAGGGCAAGCTTGGGGGTGCAGGGAGGCGGGGAAGGTGTAGGTGGTCCAAGGACCTACTCCCTGCCCTGCCCACCCCTGAGCCTCCTCCGTTGCCCTTCCCATTCTCCGCCCAACAGCGAGGGCAGCTGAGACGCCTCCGCCCCCTCGCGGCCAAGTAGGGAATCCCAAGGCGAACACATTTGAACCAGAGAACAGATCCAGACCCGCCTGGATAGGATCAGTCTGGTGGGGAGGTAGAGAGTTACAAGCAATAGGTCAGTTTTGTTCAAACCAGGACGTTGACATAGGATCACTGGGTCCAAATCTTTTCACAGTATGAGCAAATCATTTCACTTTTCTGAGCCTCAGTTTTCCCATTTGTAAAATGGGGGTAAGAATAAGAGCTATACCCCCTAAGGTTATTGTGAGGATTCGATGAGCTAACACAATAAAGGTTTAACCCAGTTCAACACTCAATATATGTTTAATAAATGTCAGTTATTATCATTTTCGTCATTGTCATCATCAACATCATCATTACTCCTGCTCCTCTCTTCTTACCCCTCCCCATGCAATAATGCAGCTCCAGCCAAAAGCAGCCCCCAAACAACCCACCCAGTCCTGCCCTTCCCCCTCACACAGCTTTCTTCTTGTCTCCAAGCAGCGCCCATTCCCGTGAGCGATGACCACCTGCAGTTTGACCTTCTGTCTTCTGCCATCAAGGATAACACCATCCAGCTCAACCTGGAGGTGAGTGTCATGGACCTTGAGGGTAAAGTGGGGACATCATTGCCTTCGCTGACCACCAGGGTCAGATACCAGGGGTTCTGTTTCAGGGGAGAAAACACTGGGCACGGTTAAGACACACGGGCTGATTTAGAAAAATCTCAAAATGCCGAGCATGTCCCATGCCAACCATTCTGATGGGGAAAACACGGCAGGTAGAATCTAAGGGCCAAGCACAGAACATCGATCCTGGTGGTCTGTCCTCCGACCTTGATCTCCCCAGTCATGGGCCCGAGTGTTTGCACTGGGGCTCTTGGCCTTTTTCTCAGGCAAAGCCCCTGCCAATCCCCAAACATCTGATTACCTTGAAACCAGATTCCAGGTTCAAAGCACACAGACCTAAGTTTCTCACCCAGCCCCACCAGTCCCTGGCTGTGTGACCTTGGGCAAGTCTCTTCCCCTCCCAAAGCCTCAGTTTCCTCATCTGTAAAGTGTAGATCATCATAGTCCCCAAGGAAAGAGTGACATGGGACTGAAGACTGGCCGGCAGGAAGAGCCTGGTAAATGGAGCTGCATACACCCTGGAGCTCGACTCCCTCAGGGCCCACACCAACGTGGACAGCTTGTATCCCAGACCAGTTTTCATGGATCCCTTGGAAAACTGCAGCATCAAGCATTTCCATCAATTTTCTTGCAGTTTTTAATTTTCCCTTCATCCAAAGGGCTTGTGAGGTATCTGAAAAGTTGAAACCTAAATTCCAAATAAGACATTTAAAGTTTTTAAAAATCAGAGATTATCTGAGGGGTGCAGGTGGGGTAGCTATTGCTAGGCACCTGAGCTTACTCCTCACCTACAGCAAGGCACTGGATTCTGGGCTGAGCTTCCTGACAGCAAGTGCAAAAAGGGAAGCAGGTTGAGAGGCATTATTTCCTTCCAGGTGGTGGTTGGGTAAGGCGTGGAGTTAAAGTTTTGATACCAGCTCTCTGCTCTGTGTCTCCTTAGGCCAAGTTATTGGACTCAGAGGGAACGGAGACCAAAAGGTTCAGTGAGTCTGAGGCTTCCCTGACAATTCCCACTCCGGACAGCGCCCCTTTCAGCCTCACCCTGAGGCAGGATGTGGTGAATGATGCAATAGGGGCCTTCCTCCCTCCAGAAGAAATCGCGATCATGCCGGACGTTGTGGTAAGCCTCGACACGGGACAGAGGAAAAAGCCACCTCTACTGAATCATGGGAACTTTCTGAATTAAAGGGAATGCAAGGACCCCAAGGCCCCGGGGCACGAATCCCCTGTCACGCTTAGTTTAAACCCCTCTAGTAATGGAGAGCTCCCTCCCTCCCCTGACAGTCTCTGTCTCTGACATATCGTTCTAAAGATGAAGCTTTCCCTGCAAAATCCAGTCCTGCTCCTCATTCTGCCCTCTGAGAACATGACACACCTGCTTCTTCTGCCAAATAACAGTCCTTCCCAACCGAAGGGCATCTTAGATACTAGGCTGCTGCCGTCCACCCTGGGGCCCATGGCAGACATGACGAATCAATCAGGGTCCTCCCTATCGAGCCTTGATGCTGACACAGCCTTGAAATGCTTCTCAAAACAGCACACCCTAGTCAGCCAGGGTGTGCCACCGCCTCCAAGGTGACTGGTGAGGAAACTGAGGCCTACAGGGCAAAAGCGTTGCCCCAAAGTTGTGGGAGGGTGTCCGGACTTAAAGTAAGCTGACAGACAGCAGATAACCAAGCTCTTGAGGATCAGAATTCAGAGTAAGGGGCTGAGATAGTGAGAAAAGAGGAGTGGTCACCAGCAACCACATTCAGGACGACAGTGAGGATTGGGTCACTTCTCTGTGCGCTCTGGGAGCAGTGAGCTGCCTGCAAACCCACAACCACCACCAACCCACAGTAAAAGTCCAGGCCAGGGGGATCCCCTGCCTCACAGCAGCTAACATAGGGCTGTTTCTTGCAAGTGACAAATATGTAGCCTGGCCCACCGGGCCCACCCAGCTTTTCTGGGGTGCTGGGGGTCGCAGCAGTGGGGCTGCTGCAGGGATGTCTCCCCCGCCCCTCCAGCTGACCTGCTCTGGCTTCCTCTCATCCTCAGCTTCCTGAGCTGGCCCACCGGCTGAAGAAGATCATCAAGGAGATCAGTGAAGAGGTTGGTCCACTGGCCATCTGCAGCTTGATGGGTGTTTGCTGGGGTCTGTCCTCGGGCCTCTGGGGAATAAAATTATGTGAGAGCACTCCCCTCCCTTCCAGCCCTGTCCTCACGAAGATCTCAGGCCAACAGGACAGGCTGACCTGCATCACATAATTACACAGATAAACTGTCAGCGAAGAGGACAGATGCTGAGGGTTATGAGAGCATTCATGGGGCACTGAGAGAGTCTGGAAAACTAGGGAGGGCTTCCCTGGAGAGAAGGGGATTCCAGACAGAGGGAGAAGCAAAACCAAAGGCTGAGATGGTGAGAGCAATCCATTCCAGGACGGAGAGGACAGTGTGGGTGGAGCACGGAGAGGAAGCAGGGAGGTCGGGAAGTTGGGCCCGGGCCAGGCCACATGGGACCTGTGGGCCACGGCGAGGTGCGTGGGAGGCCACATGCAGGTCTGATGTCCCTCCAGGCTGCGGCTCAGCTGAAGCACACACAGATTGTGAAGATCCTAACCCAGGGGACCCCAGCGCTCCTTCTGGAGAAGGGCGGTGCCAAGCTGGCCCAACTGATCGTGCTGCAATTGTTCGCCTCCAGTGAAGCCCTCCGCCCCTTATTCACCCTGGGCATTGTGAGTTAATTGCCTGTGACATTGGCAGCAATTTAGGGGACCTACACTATTCCCATTCATCCCTCTTGCTTTGCTAAACATTTCCACCTTTCTTGTCACCCAGCAGGATCGGGGTATAGGGAGCGCTGACCCCAAGATTCAGGAGCTTTGGGGGCCCTGATGACTTTATTAGTCAGTCAAGCCTTTACCCCCTTTTCAGTCAGTTACTGGCCACCCAATAGTGCCCATGGGTAGGAGGGACGTGACTCCCCAGCAAGGCAGCTCTGTTCAAGCAGGAGCATGTCTGCAGCGAAGGGTCTGGGGACTGCTAGCGGCAGCACTCGGCGGGGAGGGACGGATGCCCCGCCCTTTAAAGGGGATCTGAGTTGGGGCACTCACTGCACCCACTACAGAGGCAGAGAGAACAGAGAGACAACACAGGATTTATGCGTGGCTGCTGGAACCGTGCCTAACCAAGGAGTCTGGACAGTACCTGGTTGTTAGAAGGAACCTAATGCTGACACTATCCTTAGAGCAGAGTTGCTGTGGACAGCTGTACGGGTTGCCCACACACAATTTCAGGGGTGCCATTCACAAAAGACTACAGGAGACACAGTGCCCTAGCTTCCTATATTGAAGGATATTCTTTTTGTTCTTGTTGTTAATCCTCACCTGGGGATATTTTTTCCATTGATTTTTAGAGAGAGTGGAAGGGAGGGGGAGAAACAGAGAGAGAGCGAAACATCAATGTGAGAGAGACACATTGATTGGTTGCCTCCCACACGCGTCCCGACCAACCGGGGCCGGGGATTGAACCTGCAACCTGTGCCCTTAACCAGAATCAAACCCGAGACCCTTCAGTCCAAGGGCCAACATTCTAACCATTGAGCAACTGGCTAGGGCTATTGAAGGATATTTTGATTCCCGACCAGCAGTGGGAATGAGCTTCCCTGGTGACCTGGCCCCTCCATGGCCAATGGCAGGCACTTTTCAGAAGGCCACCAAGCCCAGGCCTGCAGGACAAGTTTGTTCTCTGGGAGCAGCTCACTGGAGCTGGAGCCTGGCACTCTGCCCTCAGGCTCACCCTGCCCACAGGTCAAGTTGATATATATCTTTGTCACTTGTATTTGAGACCTGACTTTGCTTCTGACCTTTCTGATAATAATAATACTTAACATTACCAGGAGGTTATTGATCTTTGTCCCTCAGTTCCCTCACCTCTGCCATGAGGTAAAAATAGAAGCCACTTCAAAGGGTTGTGAGGATCAAAGGAGATAATCATATAAACTTCTTAAAACTGCCAGACACACAGTGAAGGCTCCATGCATATTGGCTGCTGTCATCATCATTTCCCACAGCAATCCTATGTGGCTGTCTGTTCAGTGGGGAGTGGGTACAGGTACTATCCCATTTAATAGATGAAGAAAGTGAGGCCAGAGGGGTCAAACCCTTTTCCAAGGTCGCAGAACCAATAGCTGAGATCCAAGTGTCAGCTTGACCCCAGAGCCCCTTGCAGAACCCCACACCCCACCTTTGACACATCCTCTAAAAGAAATGTGGGTTTCTCATTGCAGGAAGCCAGCTCAAAAGCTGAGTTTTTTAGCAAAGGTGCCCAGCTTTTGCTCAACTTAACCGGAATCAGGTAAATCATCGTGAAGAATCTGGTGATAAAAATGAGTGCCACCCGGTGACCGTTTGGGTTTCTTTAAACACAGTGTGTTGAGTCTCTGGGGTGTGAGCATCCAGTGAAGGCTACTCCAGGGCAGGCAGAAAGGCTGCCTTACCTGGACTGTCCCGCTGTCGAGGACTGAGTGTGAGAGACAGAGCAGGAAAGGGAAGTGGCCTTGCAGCAGCCATGGGCATGTTGACCCTGGCCACAGGAACAGCCTGCCCAGCGTCATCCCCTCGGCCGTGGGCGGCCCATTCTGGACACCTCCACACAGAGGCAGTGACAGTCATGCCTAGATGCGAAGCCCCCATGCAGCCCAGCCCAGAAGCACGGGGCTCCAGCTGCATTCTGCACCCCTGCCTGATCTCCCACCCAACCACCCTCCTGCTGCCCTAGCCACTCAGATGTGCAAAACAGAGCCCACCACCACCCGCCACCAGAGGTCCTGCTGCACGCGGATCCCAGGGTGCCACTGCAGACTTGGCTGGCATTTGCATGTCCATGAGGACCCTTCTCAGAACAGAGGTCAGCTTCTCTCAATTGAGAAAGAAAAGGAAGGAGCAGCCGGCTCTGCACATGCCTCTGTGTGGCTTTCCCAGGGCTGGGCTGACAGCTTGTCCACACCTGGCAGACAGTTCTGTCTCCCCATACCACCCTCAATTACAATGTAAGCTCCATAAAGCAAGAATTTGAGTTGGTTCGCTGCTGTATCTCCAGAGCCTACACTGTGCCTGGTACATAGTAGGTGCTCAATAAACAGCTGTTGAATGAATGAATGAGTAAATGCATGCATGAATGAATGAATGAATGAATGGGACTTGGAGGGACCATTCTTATGGGTATTATCTGTTGCAGTCCTGAACGGATCCGCGTGCTGAACGCAGACATTGCCCAGTTTGACGTGAGTATTAACGGATTGTCCCTGCGGACACAGAATAGCCCAGAATGGTCCATTTCAAAAGGAAACATTTTGCAGAATGTGGTTTCAGCAGGTCCCCATGGGCAGCCCCATAGTGGGCTGGCCGGCCTCCACGTTATCAGCTACAAAGTCTAACCTCCTGGTTCAGGCATTTACCCACTTTATGCCAAACACAGCTGAGAACACACAAATACGGACACACAGATGCACATTCACTTTCCTGTGAAGTTTTGACCCAAAATTAAGAAATAAATCTCTTCTATTCACAATCACATAAGCTCATCTCATGACCATGAGCAGCCCTTTCCCTCTGATCCTCAGTTTCCTCACCTGAGTTGGACTAAATCAGAGTCTGAAATTGGCTGAATCCTGTCTTGTGACATGGTGTCGGTTCTGGGGGTTTGGTGTGTTTGTTCTTGTATTTTGTTTTGGTCGTGTTTTTGTCCTTACATGTGTTTTTTAACGTATTTTTATTAATTTCAGAGAGGAAGGGAGAGGGAGAGAGATAGAAACATGAATGATGAGAATCATTGATCAGCTGCCTCCCGCAGGCCCCACACTAGGGATTGAGCCCGCAACCCAGGCATATGCCCTGACCAGGAATCGAACTGTAACCTCCTAATTCATAGGTTGATGCTCAACCATGGAGCCATGCCGGCGGGCTGTCCTTATATTTTTATTTTGTTTTTTAATTTTTTATCAATATTTTAAAACGGGAGGTTTCCACATGAAAATCAGGACTCTGGCTTCCCTTGAGAAGTCAAAACCTCAGGAAGCACAGGGCTAAATTTCCTAAAGGCACATCACATTCTGCTGGAGCCCTTGAGAGTGGGGGGGGGGGACATCCTTCTGATGCACCCCAGCCCCCTCAACTATGGGACCCCAGGGCCAGTTGGGTTTGTGTCACCCTCAGGAGCCCTAGCAACTTTGACTGGCAGGGACTTGGGATTCCAGCACCTCCACCAGCCGCCCTCACCATGGGGCTGGGCTGTGCCCATTCTAGGAATGGCTGGGAGGACTTGGGATTCTCAGCCAGGGAGCAATGTCCCTTCTCTCTCACAGCCTATAATGCTGAAAGACATCGCCCGAGACATCCTCAGCGCCGTCTTGCAGACAAATGAGAATGGTGAGTTCCTTTGCTATCCATCCCCCCACTTCCCAGGGCTTTTGAGGGTGGGTGCGTTACTTCTCCTGCCTGGGTCTCCATTTGGGGCCCCTTTCACTCATTTTCCACTCTACTTCAAATTCTGCTTCTCCAGGAAGCCTTTCCGGTCACCCATCTGGAAATGAGCTCTCCCCTCTCCACCTTCCTTCACTGGTTGCAGAGCCTAGACATGCAAGATGAGCCAGGCAATGCCCATGAGGATGACAACAGACCGAGGTGTAAACAGACAAGAGCACACTCGATGTGCCTCAGACAGACCTGGTCCAAGTCTTTAATTCCCCTCTTGCTGGCTGCCTGGCCTTAGATGAGCTGCCTTATTATTCTGAGCCTCAGTTTCTCCATCTGTAAAATGGGGAAATAAGAGTACCTTCCTCAGAAGCATAAAGGAGATGGTGTTTGTAAGGGGCAGAGGGGGCTGCCTAGCACAGTTGGTGCTCAACATTTCTCAGCCACTGTTGTTGTTGGCGTTGTTATTTGTGTTCATGGTGGAGGAAGCTGAGAGAAAAGATGGAATTATTCTAACTAAGCCTCAGGTCATGGGGGTGGGAAAGTTGGTAACCTATGACAAGCCCACCTCTTTCATTCCTTTATTTTATTAGAATGAGACATCTCAATTTCCACACTTGTGCTGTGGATGATGGGAGGCCTGGTACTTGAGCAGGAATGTGAGAGGATGCGAGGGGTGCCCTTTGGAGCAGCCAGAGCCGGTGCTGGATGGAGGCAAAGGTTAAGGAGATGAGGCTAAATGGATGCTGGGCAGGAGAACAGCTGAGCAGAAGCAACAGGGCCAGTCTGCATGGGGTGTGCCGCCTCTGGGAATTGTGAGCTTGCCCACAGCTGCCCAGGACCACCAGTCTCCAACCATATTTGTTGTTTCAGGCAAATTAAGACAAGGGATCGCAGTGGTAATAGTGAAGGCCTTGGGACTTGACGACGTTTTTGTGGAGGTGACCGAGGTGAGTGGGGTTAAACATCCTGCCCCAAGGAGGGCATAGTCACTAGGAAAGCCCTGAGCTGGGAGGTGTGGGCTGTGCGCCAATCCTGACCCCGCTGCTCACTCATGAGGGACCTTGGGCAAGTTGCTTCTTCTCTCAGGGCCTCAGTTCCTCATCTGTAAGAGGAAGAATACAACTGTCCTTGCCAGGGGTCAATACACCTCCAGCTTTTCCCACCCCATTCTTTCGTTTGTTCATTGATTCAGTAAGGCCTTTCACAGTAGATGCTCAATAAGTGCTGATTGAACATATGACTCTTGTTGGCAGCTGTTAGGGAGAGGTGCTGTAGCAGCATCCACCTCCCCCAAATATTGTCATTAATAATAGTTAACAGCCCATAATCATTTTGTGCCAGGTACTGGGGTATCTTGCTCAGTTTTCACAACTACCCTATGAGGTACATCCTATTGTCATCCCCATTTTACAGATGGGGAAACTGAGAGTGAGAGATGGCAAGTCCATTTCCAAGGTCACACACTCAGTAGGTGGCAGAGTAGAGATCTGCACTCGGCACCTGCCCTGATAACCCCCTGCTTTGGGCTCCAATCTCCACATGAGCCAATGACAGTGAGGTGATTCCATCTTAATCAGCTGCCCAGCAGGCATTTACTAAGCACCTACTATGTGCCAGGCACTGATCACAACTGTGAACAAAAAAGACAGAAATCCCTGCCTTCTTGGAGTTTCTAGTCCACCCTGGAGTGGGGGAGACATTGAAAGCAGAAGTATTAACAATTAAAAACATCCACAGGTCAGGGAAAGCTGTTTAGTTCAGAGAAATCCCCAGAGGAAAGGAAGTCTCAAAATGCCCCCACTCCGCTACAGTCGAATTTGGGGGAAGGGTAGGAGGCTTTGTTAACAAGCTTCCAAGGCAAGTTGACATTTGACTTATTATCAGCTGCCCACCTCAACAACCATGCCCACCCTTTAGCTTTAGCTGGCTTTGGTGGAGAATAAAGAGAACAGTACTGTGGATGGTACCGAAAGAGGCTGAGAATCTAGACTTAGGGACCAGAGGACAAGTTCTGCCAGCTCTGCCTCTCTCCAGCCATGAGACCTCAGGCAGGTCCTCTGGCCTCTCTGAGCCCAGCTTCCTCATCCACAAAACTCAGCAGATGTCTGAATACACAGGTCATGCACTAATGCAGGGGTCCTCAAACTACGGCCCGTGGGCCACATGCAAATACAAATATGTATTTGTTCCCGTTTTGTTTTTTTACTTCAAAATAAGATATGTGCAGTGTGCATAGGAATTTGTTCATAGTTTTTTTTAAAACTATAGTCCGGCCCTCCAACGGTCTGAGGAACAGTGAACTGGCCCCCTGTTTAAAAAGTTTGAGGACCCCTGCACTAATGGATGACATTACAATAATCTGAGTAAAATATAAGTAGTTCATTTATCTAAGACATATGTGCACTTGGTTGGTGTTGGATGGACAACGGGTATCCATACAACTGTATGGCTGAAGCGTGGTTTATTTCACATATCTCTTATTAGGGGACATCTAGCAATGCTCCTTTTTTTTATTTTCTAAAGCAATTTGCATCGCATAATTTATCATTTACAGTTTAAGTTGGAAAAGTATCATTTCATCCTTTGGAACTGTTTCCAAATTTTCTGTTCTACTCTGTTCATTTATTTTGGACTAAGCAGCACATTTATTTCCTTTATATAGCTTTATAATATAACTAGAGGCCCAGTGCACGAAATTTGTGCACTCAGTGGAGCGGGGGGGTCCCTCATCCAGGCCTGCACCCTCTTGCAGTCTGGGAGCCCTCAGGGGATGTCTAACTGCCGTGGAGGCAGGAGAGGCTACCACCACGGCCACTGCGCTCGCCAGCTGTGAGCCCGGCTTCTGGCTGAGCGGCACTCCCCCTGTGGGAGCACACTGACCACCAGGGGGCAGCTCTTGCATTGAGCGTCTGCCCCCTGGTGGTCAGTGCACATCATAGCGACCAGTCGTTCCACCATTTGGTTGATTTGCATATTAGCCTTTTATTATATAGGACTAGAGGCCCGGTGCACAAAATTTGTGCACTCGGGGGGGAGAGGGGGTCCCTCAGCCCATCCTGTGCCCTCTCGCAGTCTGGGACCCCTCAGGAGATAATGACCTGCTGGCTTAGGCCTGCTCCCGGGTGGCAGAGGGCAGGCCCAATCCCTAGGTGCAGCCCCTGGTCGGGCTCAGAGCAGGGCCAATTGGGAAGTTGGGGCACTGCCCCCTGTCATGCACAGAGCAGGGCGGATCGGGAGGTTACAATGCCACCCCTAGTCACGCTCAGGGTACAGCCGATTGGGGGGTTGGGGCACCTCCCCGTCACACTCAAGGCAGGGTCGATAGGGAAGTTGCGGCACCACCCCCTGTCACGCACAGAGCAGGGCCGATCAGGGGGTTGAGGAGCTCCCCCCTGTCACTCACAGAGTAGGGCCAATAGGGGAGTTGGGGCTCCATACCCTGTCACACAGAGAGCAGGGCGGATCAGGGGGTTGGGGCGCTGCACCCTGTCACACACAGAGCAGGGCCCATCAGCGGGGTTGGGGCTCCATACCCTGTCACACACAGAGCAGGGCCGATCAGGGGGTTGAGGAGCTCCCCCCTGTCACGCACAGAGCAGGGCCCATCAGTGGGTTGGGGAGCTCCCCCCTGTCACTCACAGAGTAGGGCCGATAGGGGAGTTGTGGCCCCACCCCCTGTCACACACAGAGCCACAGGGCGATCAGGGGGTTTGGGCGCTGCCCCCTGTCACGCTGCTCCCGGTGCCGGGAGGCCTCGCAGCTCCGCTGATCCTGGGGCCAGGAGGCATATTACCCTTTTACTATATAGAATAGAGGCCTGGTGCACAGGTGGGGCTGGCTGGTTTGCCCTGAAGGGTGTCCTGGATCAGGGTGGGGGTGCCTGGCCAGTCTGGCTGAGGGGCTGAGGGCCGTTTTCAGGCTGGCAGGTCACTGAAGCTCCCAACCGCTCCTTTTTTTTCTTTTTTTTTTTCTTTTTATTCTGGGCCAGCTTTAGCTCTGAGGCCTCAGCTGCTGAAAGTAGGTTTCTGGCCTTTGTTTATTTTCTGTATTTGATACAATGTTGCGGTCCGGCTGGCTGAAGCCCGGCTGACTAACGCAGGTTTCTGGGGTTTTGTTTAGCTTCTATATTTGCAATATAGTTCCTTAGAGTTGCAGCTGAGAGGCCGGCAAGTCAGGTGGGGAACGTTGGAGTCCACAGTCACTGGAGCAAGCAAGCCTCCCTGTTCGCTTCAGTGCATGGCTGCCGGCTGCCATCTTGGCTGGCAGTTAATTTGCATATCGCCCTGATTAGCCAATGGGAAGGGTAGCGGATGTACGGCTAATTACCATGTTTCTCTTTTATTAGATAGGATATATTTTAAAATCTAGTCAAACAAATGAATAAGTGGTTAGATGTGAGATAAAGCAAGTATAGTTTTTTAATTGGGAGAATCTAGATCATGAGTATATAAGTGCTCACATAAAATTCTTTCAACTTTACTGTATGTTTGAAAATGATCAAAATAAAATGTTGGGGGAAATCTAATAGATTAAGTTCTTCATAGCACACTTAGTTAAAAAGAAAAAAAAAGCCAGAGCCTTGTTAAATATTTAGCTGACTAAATGGGGGAAGGGGGGACATATGTAATAGTTTCAACAATAAAGATTTTTTAAAAGATTTAGCTGCCTTGCCCTAACCGGTTTTGCTCAGTGGATAGAGCATCGGCCTGCGGACTGAAGGGTCCCAGGTTCGATTCCGGTCAAGGGCATGTACCTTGGTTGCGGGCACATCCCCAGTAGGAGGTGTGCAGGAGGCAGCTGATTGATGTTTCTCTCTCATCGATGTTTCTAACTCTCTATCCCTCTCCCTTCCTTTCTGTAAAAAAATCAAAAAATATATATTAAAAAAAAAAGATTTAGCTGCCTAAGGCCCAATGGGTACAACCAGGAATCTGCATTTGAGGAAACATTTGGGGAAGTGTTGGTGATCAGCTGGGACGAGGGACAGCGATCCTATACAATCCCACACTCTGCAGGCAGACCCTACTCTTCTGTCCCTTCTAAGAATTCTGTCTGAGTGAGTTCAGGATCATGACCCTCAATGACAGTGGTCACCTTGAGGAGGACACGCCAGCGTAAATCACAAGTCAGGAGATGAAAAAAAAAACAAACCCAGTTGACTTTTCTCCTCCAATTGCAGGATGAAC